GGGAAAGAGATGCATTTTCAGCCACTGTATCAAAAGCCCTATGAATAAAAGCATATAATGATTCACGTGTCAAGGTCACAAGAGCCTAGACTCACATTATAACAATGTTTTTTGAAAGCTATGGCTGCAAGAGATAAAATCATTTTCTTGTCAACAAATGCTACCCTAAGTTGATTCCATAGACCCTTGGACAGTCTTAAAAGCACTCCTAAACAGGAAAGCTTCTAGAAATAGAAAATAGGGTATCTAGTTGCCATTTATTACAACTTGGAGTTTTAAAAGCCTTCCTTTTGTATTTCCCCCCCCTTTTTTTTTATACTAGGAATGAATCCTATGTGCACATAAAAGATCCTTTTTTCTACTGAATACAGTCCTACAACTTAAGTTAAATGATTTTTTTTAAAGACTGAAAAGAAATAAGATATGATCCAAGCAAAACAAATAAATATATTAAACTCAAATGTGGAAACAGACATCACCACAGAAAATGACTGGATCAGAACAGGAAAACAAACAAACAAAACAACAAAAAAAACCCCAGCACAAGTACAAGTTTTAATAACCAAAATTACAGTGCCACTCAGAATACAGGCTTTGTACCACAGCCTCTCACACAGCATTTAACTGAAATACTGCAGCAATCATGAAGCTCCCCCCATTAGTCCATCCCTGCTGCCACTGGCACTGCCCATTAGCTAGCATCAGATGCTTCAGATTTCTCTCCTGCTCATACTTCCATGACTCTACCAGACGGAGCAAACAACAAAAGATAAGCCTTTATCATAGTATTTCAAAATAACTCAGTCATCTGTGTCAAGAAGCCTACAAATCTCACTTTGCAAAGTACCATACTATTTTAGCATTTTTCAGTGCTGCATTAAATTTAGTGGTAAATTTATTTGGACTTACATCTAAAGGGTAATAGAAAAAACCTGGAAACTGTAACAGAGAGAGTTTACTAGAAGAAGTCTATAAACATGGGAAACTTCTTTTTTTGAAGGGATGTAGTGGAAGCAGTTAGAGAGTTATGTAGTAATCCATCTAGGATGAGATTTATGAGGAAAATATGCCATATATAACCTAGTATTAGTTTAGAGCACAACCAAATTACACAGAAACTGTACAGAAATAAGCATCATATTAAAAATTAGAAAACATATAGAACAAATTCAAAACATTGTACCTTCACAAGATTCAAAATAATAATGGGAGAGCCAAATCTCTGAAGCATTTGGTCAAAGTGAAGAGCAGCAACGTGTGCAAAAGGATCTGCTTGGTCCACTGCAATAAATACGTGTATTCAGGACAATGTTAAGCAAGCTGTAGCCATTCCCTTAGAAGTACTCTTCACAAAATACATGCTAATTCTCTAATAATAATGATACGATTACATACTCTCCCTCTTCATGCAAAAGCAGTTTAAAAAAAATCTTCCCTTCTCCAAATTGGAAGTGACTTCTTAACCAAAACTTTCATGAGATGTTTACAATGAGCAAATATTCGGGGTCCCATTAAACTTAGCCCAGATGCTTTCCACCATTTTCAACAGGTTCAAAATTGTATCCACGACACTAAGCCAAATGTAGCTAAATTTGTATACAAAATAATAAGCACAAAGAAAATTAACACCTTGAAACAGAAGGTTTTTGTATTCCATTTCTGAATGTGAAGACCAAGATGGAGATTTTTTTCTATTAAATTTCATCAAATGCAGCTTTTTATATTGTTGAATGTTTGTATGTCATGATGTTTATTATAAAGAACATTGTTTTACCTTAAATTAAAGCTTCACAAAGAACAAATGCATAGACAATTTGTTCATTTTTGCAAATTTAGGTTTCACTTACTCTCTCAGGTGTTCCTTTAGGACACAGCACTAACCACAAACTATCACAAAGAATAATTTGTACATACATGTTATGGGTGGCTTAGGCATCATAGTTGAAATATCTTGAGACCAGTACAGAGGGACTGATCCTCGAACCTGAACATAAGAAGAATAACTCCCCGCAGAAAATGACATAACTGACGCATCATAAAGTATTTGCTCAGTTTCCACTTCATTAGCAACATCGCCCTAAACCAAACAGAAATACACCTATGATGTAGACATGACACTTCAGAGCTGCATGCATTACAGAGAACTGATCACTAAACCACAAGACACCAAATCATGATAGCAAGACCACCACTGAAGGTTAAACTCTCATTTGTCCCTAAATGTACATTATCAAATTTTTTTTTTCCTCTATTTGGGAAATAACATATCTCTAAGTGTAAAAAAAAACCCAAAACACAACAAAACTTAAAATAATAAGTCTTAACTGGCAGAACAGATTTATTATCTGAATTAAAAATTTAATGATAGCTGTGATAACATTACCCAGTAGCATAGTTTAAACCAAAGCCCTAACAACCCTCCAGAACATTTCAGTACTCCAGTCAGTCAACTTCAAGCTTTCATATCGTTGAGGGGGTAGAGGGGAACCCCTAAAAATCACATTTAATTTACCTCACAGTTTGCTCCTCGTTTCAGAAAGCGTGTGCCAGCAAATTTGCTTGATCTTCTGGCTATCAGAGTGACATATATAGGGCGACCGTATATTAACAGTTCTTGAAAGAGAAGTTAAGGTTTACATGCCACATGCAATTTTTCATTCACTTCATGCAAGCAAAAATAAATTCTAAAAAAGGTGTATGAAAGTGAAACATCTAATTTACTAAAATATCCTTAACAGACATGAGTATCAATTCCAAATTTCTTTTGCAGTTGGGAGAGAGCATTGCCTTTTTCAACAGTCGTTTTGAAGAACTCTGAAAAGGGAATCTACATTATAATACATCAACCACTTTTCACAACATACGGAAGAGAAGAATTTCTATTTTATGAAGCGACAATATAGGTGAAGCAGGTACAAGATTCACCTTGGGCCGCAAATACTTCTTTTGTGAATAGTGGGATTAAAGCCTGGGAGCTTCTATTTTCAGATCAGGTATATTAGTCAGCCTTTAATTATTTGTCTGGAAAAGTAGATAAATTTGCAGCTACTTAAGTAACACCAACTGAAAGCCAGAGGCAAACAGCTACGGCTGCAGCGGTAGCTTCCTTTTAAGTTTCTTATTTTTTATTAAAAACAAAAAAGATAGAATCAGATGTCTAGTGTGACTATCACTGCTGCTTTAGGAGAAGGGAGGCACAAGAAAGAGGAAAGAAGACATTTGCTCATCAAAAACCTGGTGCAAAAACTATTGTCACTCACAAAGCAGCTGCAGCAGTAATGCTGGTGGACCGATCCACAGCTACCACTTTGCTTGAGTAAGACCCCAGATGAAATAGTGGTATATGAAAACAGATCTAGTTTTCTGTTTGGGGACTGAGCCAATGACCAGCAGCCTTACAATCATGAAAAAACAAAATTAAATTTTGTGAAGACACCACTAACTGTAACTTCAAAATTGTATTTGCTTCCCCAGATAGCTTATTGACAGGCTTTTGAACTAACATGATGCTGTTGATGATTAAAATGCAGTGTCTTTGTAATATACTAAATTCTTATCAACTAAGATGTTGAGATGGCATTTCTTTGGAGTGTGATATGGATTTGGGCTTTTTCTCCCCTACTACAACGTACATAGACCCATTTACCCATTTAAAATAATATATAGTCAGGAAAAAAGACTTTCTGATGTTCTAATGTTTATGTAACTCTCTTCACACAGCAGACATGAACTTCTATCATCATCTTCAACAGAAAAAGAATTTCTGCAAATCTCAGTTACTAAAAAAATGTTTTAAAGGAGATTAGTAAGAGAACATTTCTGTGTCAGCAATTCAGTTCTGTTTAGCTTTTTTCCCCTTCCTCAAATATGAGTGAAAAATATAGCTCAGACTTAAAATCCTCTCAAATTCTGTATTACTAAAAACCCCATGCTTACAAACACTGCCTCACTGAGAATGCAAGCCTACCTGTGTCAGGACCCTGTAATAAGAACATAACCGTGTTTGCTGTTTAGCCATAAAACCTAGAAAAGTAATTAAAATAAAAGCCAACAAGTAATTATAAAATTGAAAAGTATTTACATGACAAAGAAATAATTCAACGTATTTCACACCTGCAAACTGTCTGAAAATTGTTAAACCAACATTCATTACAAGAGTAAAAGGATACTTGATTGCCCACAAAATCCATGAATAATATACAGCAGCCAGTCACGATGAATAGTATTTTTTACTGCATCTAGAAGCTTGCCATTCCACACATACTTTTCATAAGGCTTACTGCAAATCCCAAATACACCTATGAAGTTGATACAAGGAAAACGCATTAGCAGTTAAGAAACTAGCTTACCTGCATTGGACTGTTTGAAAATCCAGGTCATTGGACCTTTATTTTGATTTTCCCTTGACTGCAACTCAGCATATCATTTACTTGCATCCTCAAAGTTTACCAAACACAGATAACTTCAGGAGCATGCTAAAGTTCAGCAATTTATTTCCAATTTTTCTATGGTTGCCAATCACTGTACTATTTGAGTGCCTTCATGCAGAAGTTTCTGATACTTCCAGTACTGAAAAGAGATCTCTGTATAGCAGCAACAGAGGATTTGATAATAAGGGAAATAACTGGAATTCACAACTTGATTTAAGGCAAAAATACTCTCATAGGAGGACTTTATAAGCTTTTCAATTCTGGGTCACCTCTGGAATTACCTGTTAGGCTCTGGAAGATGATGCCTGGCCCCCTTTACAAAAAGCATGTCAATCCCCTTTATATATAATTTAGCCTGGTTTTCCCAATTTGCATTGACACCAAGAAATGCAGCTATTGTAGATCTGCAAATTAAAATTCAATTTCTCATACATCTGGAACCTGAGTCTTTCTGTTTCAAAAATCAGGATGAAGATGACAACTGGCACTAAAAGGTGGTGAAGGGAACTGAATGAGTCTAAATCTTAAAGAGAAGGAACAGGACAAGAATTCTACTAGCTACATTTTTTTTGTCTAGTTTTTTCAAATGAAGCTTCTGGCAGGATGAGTTATATCGTAGGAGTATGTATGTCAATTACAGCAGCCAAATGTTTTGCTCGGAGAAAAAGATGAGTTCTCCCAATAGACTGAAGGTGGAAATGCAGCTGTTGAACAAACTGTTGCTACCTAGTCACCCAACTTACCACAAGCCTTGGGAAAATGATGTAACCATTTTGGTGAAGGAGCGTACACAAACAATTGGTCAGCTCTTTCCCACTTCTAGTAGATTACTTTGGTGACAATTTGTTCTTGAATGTCAAGTGGCTATTTCTTACACATAGCCTATCATATGAACAGACATGTTGCTGCTATCTACTGGAAATGGAGTTGTGTGTGCCATCAGCATGCTGCTGATGGGGTCAAGGTTATGGCATCTTTATCTCCCAGTGTTTTCACAATGACATGGAGAAGACAATGCCACTGTATGGATTCCTGAGGGATCTTGCAGGTAAGAGCCTTTGCAGAGGAAGAGTTATTGCTCCCTCCACTCCTTATGGTCATTTCTGCCATTGTAGTATTTGACAACCAATTTCTTATATCCTGATATATATGATCATGTTACTGATATCTT